GTTTTCCTAACCATAACTGAAAGCTCATAGTGAATCTTCCTATCTGAGGTCAGCTTGTAGATATTAAAAATGATCATCATTTCAAATGAATAAATGATATCCAACAGAGTCCGGAGTGCATTAACTCTTTGTAAAACAAATGACATTGAGTCATTTTGGGATTTAGGAGGATAATGGGATCTGTAGAGACTTAGATTGCCTTGAGACCACTGGAGATTATGAAACAATCTACAGCTCTTACCCTATTTTCCTGGCAAATAAGCAATTAAGTTGTCTCTAGGGGCCACGCTATTTATTTGTAATGTGCCTGTGTGTTTTGCATTATGTATTTTCCTGTTCTGAAAAAAATTGAAATTATAATCAATAAGGACAGCATTTTTGATATATTGTTCTAATAAGAATTTTGTCTAGTATGTTGTCAGGTATATGCTACACAATCACCAAACAAATTCATCTGTGTTTCTCTCTGAAAATATCCTCTCCCACCTACATTGCAAGTAAACTGTTTTTAACCAATTAATTTTTGTCTTTTGTAGACTAGACTGTCCTAAAGTATATTCCAGAATGTGGTCCGTGAGTCTGGTACCTCTCATTCATTGAAGTTCTACATCTACCTTCACAATTGGTTTGAAGGCTAAATCATGGTGCTCCAGTATCAGATCCTAAAATATGGTGGCTGTGGATATTACCCTTTGTGACAACAACACTGCAGTTTTTATTAAATTGCAATTATCTCATCTCACTATAAGAGATTGATCCCTATCTCAAGATCTCATAGATCATGAGATAAGATTATTCTGAGTTATTAACTGTGTTCTAACTGTAAGTAGTAATTCCTTCTGAGACCTTGGGGAAAATGGCAGATTGGGGGTAGTTCAACAGCATATGGCTCTCAGACCATCAGAGTATCAGTTCTTCTTGGTCATTGTGGGGTGGCCAATCCTGCACATTTCAGCTTGCCAAATTCTATAATTGCATGGATTCAATTCCTTATAACAAATCTCTCTCTTCTTCTCTCTTTTTGGCCCTTTTTTTCTTTTCTGGCCCTTTCTGTATCTCTGTCTCATAAATGAAACTATTATATAATTACTAACCTAACAGAAAATTATTACAGAATATTCTGTACATCTGAATACAAACATACTGGAAACATAGTTAATGAACAAAATTCTAGAATTAACACAACACCAAAGGTCATGAGAAAGAAGAATCTGAATATTTGTCTAGCTAGTGTAGAGAAAGAATTCAGAGGTAATAATTTCCAGCAAAGAAAACTCCAGGACCAAGATGTTTTAATTACTATTGCTTTGTATGGATTTGAAGTTTGATGTTGTTATTTCTCCAACACTGTTCTACCTGATACAGTTCACCCTCATTAACTGGGGTCTCATGTTATTCATATGAATTTTTTGTATTGCTTTTTCTAAATATTGCATTGAATTTGTCAATTTATCTGGGCAGTATTGCCATTTTCACACTATTAATTCTTCCAATCTAGGAGCATGGAAAGGTCTGTCCATTTCCTTAAATATACTTCAATTTCTTTTTCAATTTTTTGAAGTTTTCACTATAGAAACCATTCATATCTTTGGGTAAGCCCTCAATGGATGAATGGATCAAGAAAATGTGGTATATATAAAAATGTATATCTATATCTATCTATATAAACATACACAATGGGATTTTACTCATCTATTAGAATGTTAACACCATTTGTAAGGAAATGAAAACACTTAAGTGTTAAGTGAAGTAAGCTAGGCCCAGAGAAACAAAGATTGACTGATTTCCTTCATTTATAGTAGATGGAATGTGCCTATAAATCTATAAGTAAACACATTGGGCGATATGCAAGTGGTTACAAATGAATTAATTGAAGTATAATAGACTTTATGGAGAGAGAAAATAGCATACTATCTTAGAAAGACTGGGTCAAATCCCAGCAAAATCAGCATCAGGAAATGGGTACATCCAAGATGTGGAGGTGGACCCAAAGGGAGAGCGGTATACACTACACAGTTTAAAGAAGTAAGGGAAGGCTTAGGTCAAAGAGGTCTGAGAGAGTTGAAGGAGGTGACACTGATCAAGATGCGTTGTACTGAGAAACCATGTTGTTAAATGGCATCGCCTTTGTACAACTACTTAGGGATAATAAAAAAAAATTAAAAAGTTCCAGGAACAGATTACTTCAGTAGTTAACTTTCTCTAATGAAAGTGCCATAGTAACATATGATTTTAAAGCTGAAGGAGACAAGCGATTCCTATGGCAACTTAGAATATACATGGAAACTCACAATGTATCTTTCTTTAGAGTTGTGGGAATTCAAAGGTTGAAATCTCACTGACCTAAAATCAGTGATCTATCAGAGCCAGATCTCTTCATCAGCTTTTGGAGTCAATTCATTTCTTGTCTGTCTTATCCACCAGTGGTGATCTTAAATCATTGGCTAGTGGTCACATCATGTCTGTATTACTTTGAAGACTTTTCTCTTGTAAAAGTTCAGTTTTTCAAACTGTGTTTGATGAGGATGCACAGGATTATTTCTCGGGAAAAAACACAGACACAAATGATCAATCATTCTTTCAATTCTTAATTTAATCACCTCTTCATAGTCCATTTTTGGGCTCCAAGTGTCATTTTGAAGCATTTCAAAAACAGCATATGGATCTTTGCTGGGCATTATTGAGCCTGGCCCCAGGGTCATATGGTCACATTCTACAGTATCTGAAGATTTTTCTTGAGTCCAAAATAATTACCAAATTAAATAATTATTTGATAATTAATTGTTTTTCCTGCAAAACCAAGAAGAGTGAAGGAAGGCGTCAGAATGTTGAAAGGGGTGACATTGAGATATATTGTATTCAAAAACTGTTTTGTTAAATGGCATCTCCTTTGTACAACTACTTAAATATAATAAGAAAAAGAGAAAACAATAAGAAAAGCACAGTGGCACACTAGAAAAACTTTGTTTTGGTTAAATTAATTAAATTTATTTAATTAAATTAACAAATTAAATAATTATTAAATAATTATTAAAATTCTTAGATAAACAAAGGAGAGGCAACAATGCTTGATAAGAAATGTACTCATTACCTTGCTCATGTAATTGTAACCCCTCTGTACCATATTTTCACAATAAAAAAAGAACACTTACCATAAATAGAGAAGTAAATATTGCATTATGATGTTCCTTCACAAGGGATAGTATAGATATTATAATATAATCTCATATTACAAAGACTGAGATGTTGAAGACTCCTATTTTGTAGATGCAACAAACTGTACCCAGATATATAAATCCAAGTAGTTTTGTCCATTGCTTCTCTAGAAAAAAAAAACTGAAAATATGACCATTGTGCTGTGTACGTGCTAGCTATGTCGACTATGATGTACATCAAGGTCATATTCTCCCTGGAATTTTTAAATTATTTCAATTAATTGTGTATTATCCATGTAGTTCTTCTCTTCTCCTGTAAAATTAGATGCTAGCTTGTGACACAGTTACTAGCTGTACATGCTTTATGAATTTCATGATAGCATTTAACTGATGTATTCCTAGCCACTTATTGAGATATAAACTCTTGGTAAAGTGTATGAGCATGCTTGGGATAGTCCAGGTGATAGGTGGAACTTCATGTATTCTGTTAGGTGTGCTCATTCATGTAATTGTTCTGTTTGAAGGGAGGAGTGACAGCTGCACAGGAATGTGTGGCACCAATCATTAGGAGTGTCTTTTGACAGAAGGAGCTAGAAGTATATTATTATGCAATTTTACTACCACAAGGCAGTAGTTTAAAGCTATCTGACATTAAAGTTGTTCATTCAAGACCAAAGCTCAACTACTCTATACATAAGTACTTTATTAATAATTATTTATTGAGACTCTACTGTGAATCTACTTAATAAATTGAATTTATGTGTGGGTTTCAAATATAATACAGGGCATGGAGGAGTCTTGAATGGAATAAATGCAATATTATGCATCCCAGAAACTGAAATGGGCAACCATAAGGACTATTTTCCCTTCAACAAAATCTTTCTGAATGCGTTGTTGACCTCCTTGTTCCTCAGGCTGTAGACTACAGGATTCAGCATGGGAATGATCATCGTGTAAAACACAGATGAGATTTTGGCAGTGTCCATAGAATGATTGGAACTGGGCTGCACATACATAAATATACTCGTTCCATAGAAGATGGAGACTGCAGTGAAGTGGGAGGCGCAGGTGGACAAAGCCTTCTGATGTCCTGTTGTTGAGTGCATTCTTAGGATGGTGAGAAAGATAAAGATGTAGGATATCCAAATAATGATGAGAGCAAAAAAGATATGGAAACTCACTATATAAACAAGGACTAGCTCACTAACCCGTCTATCAGAGCAAGAGAGAACCATGACTGCTGGGATATCACAGAAAAAATGATGGACCACATTAGATTGACAGAAGGAGAGGTTGAATGTGTCCCCAATGTGGATGGAAGCATTCAGGAAACCAATGGCGTAAGAGCCTGTGATCTGACACAAACACACATTCGTTGTCATGGTGGTGGTGTAATAGAGGGGCTTACACACTGCTGCGTAGCGATCGTAGGCCATGGAGGCCAACAGGTAATTTTCCACAGTAGTAAAGCCTGCAAAAAAGAACATCTGAGCAGCACAAGCATTGTAGGAGATGACCTTGTCTCCCATAAGGAGCTCAGCCATGACCTTAGGAGTGACAGCTGAAGAGTAGCAAAAGTCCACCAGAGAGAGATTACCAAGGAAGAAGTACATGGGGGTGTGGAGACGAGAGTCCAAGAGAATCAGGAGGACCAGCCCCAGATTCCCAACCAGCGTGATGATGTAGACGATGAGGAAGATGATAAAGAGAGGGACCTGCAGGTTGGGGTCACTGGTCAGTCCCAGCAGGATGAACTCTGCCACCTTTGTTCTGTTCTCCATCAAGAGATTTGAAATTGTCTGCAGAGATGAAGGAAAGGAGAAAATGGTAAAGAAATTGAAATAGAGGAGTAGAAGTACAGTGACATTGTAACAATAGCTTTGTGTTATGATTACTTAAAATATCATTTTCTTGACAACCAAATTTCATTAAATGTGTTCTAGGGTGATACACTATCAAGTGTAAAGAATCTTAGTAATCAGCTGTACAACTTTATAGTTTTTAAATTTTCTAAACAGATATATAGATAATCGGATGACGAGAAAATGGCTCCTATGGAAGAATCTATCTGCCAGCCATTTCCCTGGTGCCTAGAAAAGCTGACTCTATTTGCATACTTGCGCCAAACTACTGCACTCCTCCCAGCCCTTTGATGGTTGTTCCTTGTCTTCTGTTAAGAATAAGCTTGATTGGTTGTTATTTTCCTGTAAACTATGAAGCACAAGCAGTTGAGTAATTATTCTAGTAACACATTCATATTTGTGTGAGCACTAATTGGCAATCTCATCTCTGTACCCAAGCCAAATTAACCTATGCCAAGTAGTTCTGATTCTATGGGTCTAAAGTGAATATGAATCAAATTGAATTTACTTCCATGTATCCTTCTTGATTGTCTCTTTTAGTTCAAATTCAGTGTTTATTGGTTCACAGTGTATTTAGTGAGTGAATAATTTTAATTTGTAATTTCATCTTGGTGATGATATATTTGACCTGTGTTGGAAATAAAGCAAACAAACACAAATCCAGAAGAGTGAAATGATTGCTTTCACTCTCAGAAGTGTTTACCACAAATTAAAAACCTAGAACCATTTGTCACTAGCACATCTACATATATTTACAAATGATAAACACTTGGCTAGTTTTGGAATGAGCTTATTCTTTATGCAGAGTTTGTACGTTGAGAATAATGTGGTAGCGACTGTAAATGAGGTCACGTCTTCATATGTGGCTAACACAAAGGCTGAGGCTCTTGACAGACGTAGATATCAGACATTCCATTGTCCACCTAGGAGTCACAAGTCATAGCATAATTCCACTAAACATCTTATGTCCATCTGTAGTGAGAAGTTCAGGTTCCAGGGGGAAAATTCACTAAGGTGCTGTTACATAAGAGATAATAACATTTGGAGTATTAGCCACAGATGGTATTTGATAGCTCCCGTGTTATTAACACATGTCATAAGAGTCTTTTAAATTGTGTTTTTATTGTCTTTAAGTAGTTGTACAAACAGATTTCAACTCACCATGTCAGTTTATGAAAAGAATATATCTTTTTATTATCTTCAAGTGGTTGACAAAGGGGATTGAATTCAACAAATGAGTTTACCGGTAATGCCTCTTGGTTGGTGTCACCAATGTCATCAATCTCTTCAATTTTTCCCAACCCCACTCATCCCCTCAAGTTATCTGGTTCCATCTTCGCAGGTGTACATTGGTATTGTGACTGCATTCTCCCATCCTTTCTCTCTTCATCGGTCTGCCTCCTTCCCTTTGACCCCTCCCCCCCCCACACACAACACCTAGGAAGTTCTCACTACCTAGAATTCATTTTGTTAAACTGGAGTCTTCCTCTGTGTACTGTATACCATACTTGAGTTAAGAGATAATGACTTTTATGTTGTTTTGTTATGGAAAATGCCCATGTTTAGTTTCCCCATCCCAATTTGCCTTTTGTCCTGCACTAAAGCTTACTGATCTTGTCTGTGTTCATCAGTATTTCTCTTTCTGTCCTTACTCCAAGAATATCAGTATTAACTCTTACAGTTACAGTGAGACATTCTTATTCAAAATTTCTTCCTTAACAGAAGTGGTTCTTTCTTTTTTTAAAGTAAGTTTTTTATTGTGAAAATACCATGTAGAGGGGTTACAATTACATGAGCAAGGTAATGAGTACATTTCTTATCAAGTATTGTTGCCTCCTCCTTTGTTTTTCCCTTACCATCCCTGCCCTCCCATCTCCATGACTACATCCCCCCCCACACTCAAAAGTTGTAAAGTTTGCTTTTTGACATAGCGTCTTATACATCTCATTGTTGCAATGGGTCCACCTGTATCCCTATTAATGTACTTATAATGCACTATGTGATTCTCTTTTTTCTTTTGTATGTTCTTCCCCCACAGTATAACCCTTGTTTTCACTGTATTTGATTCTGGTGTCCTGCATTTTGTATATACATTTATTTATAATTTGGGGAGGGGAAGGGACATAACAAAAAGCTGAAATAAGGAGTATTTCAGAAACTATTTGATGCTCTAAAATTCTACAGACTGCATGAGGAAGAATCAATATTCACAAATTAAATTCACCTTCCAATGAAAGCATGTGATCATGGTCATAGTGTTGAGAGGCATTTACAACCTGCAAATCCATTTAAGTTATGTGTGCAATAAAGAAGGATAATTTTACTCTTCAGGATTTTACTTCTTTCTGATTTTTGTGTGGGTCTTTAACCAACAATCAGATCTAAATATATAGTGTACAAAACAAAGTTACCCTTTAATTATTGTATCTTACCTTTCCTGCTCATGTGTTTTGGAATGAAATATGATTATTTCACACGAATCACTAGTGTCCATAGGATAGATCTTTTAAAGTTCATACTAAAATTATTTAAAATATGCAAAAATATGTTACACTTCTCATCATAATGCTTATAGAAAACAGAGGTATGACACTTTGCTAGAAGAGATAGCACAGGTAGGTATCATAATAGTGATTTTTTTTTTTTTTTGCCAGTCCTGAGGTTGAACACAGGACCTAGGTCCTGACCCTACTTGCACTCCAGGCTAGTAGTGCTCTACCACTTGAGCCACAGCTCCACTTCCAGCTTTTTCTGAGTAGTTTATTGGAGATAAGAGTCTATGGATTTTCCTGCCAGTCTGACTTCAAAGCTCTATCCTTAGATCTCAGCCTCCTAAGTAGCGAGGAGTACAGGTGGGAGCCACTGATCCCTGGCATAATAGTGATTTTTAAATTATTATTTTTTAAATAAGCACTATTGGGAAATCGTATTGTTGAAGACATACTATTAGAAAACTACATGATTCCTTTCACATTGGCTCAAAATGTTCCAACTTTATGGGACATGAGATGTGGAGAAATAGTCAGTGTGAGTCGGGTTCTAAATCTGCCACAAATTCTTTCTGCACTCTTGGAAGAGTCACTTACCTCCTCTTGTCAAATGAACATGATTGCATTCCTTCTAGCTCACTATTCACTATTTGTTTTTGTCTGCAAAAACAAAACAAAACAGAACAAAAAAACACAAATGAGAGCTTTGTAACACATTCGGTGAGGAGGTGGTAATTTAAAAGTCAATCCATGTAATGTTACCTTTGATGTTTTTCCTGGTCATGGCTGAAGGTACACAGCAAATCCTCAGGTGAGAAGATCTGGATGCACTCCCAATGCTGCCCATTCACAGGAATAAATGATGACCAGCAAAGCACATCATATAGCATGCTCCTTCGAAAACGACTTGATGTTGAGTCATATTGGGATTTCTGATGCTAATGGAAGGTCTGTAGACAATTATAGAGACTTGGAGATCTCTGGAGATTTCTCCGATGAGAATACCTAAGTCTTCTCACTCAGCTATGCGAGGGAAGAAGCAATTATCCTGCCTAAAGGGAAGAAACTGGTTATTATCCGTTGCAAAGTAAATTTACTTCTAAATGGCAAATAGAAAACATTCATAATGTTTAAGGGTTACAATGAGGTTTTGTGTATTTGAATTATGGGATGTTTAAATCAGTTTAAATATTATCTCTTCAAATACTTGTCATTTGAGGGATTATTTTATTAGCATACATTAGTTCTACAAAGAGGGTTTTAGTGTGACATCTCCCTGCATGCATCCAATGTACCTCAATCAACGTCGATCACTCTCCCTTACCTTCTCCCTCCTCTTAAAACAACTTCAACAGATTTTAAAATTCTATGTTCATACATGTATATATAGTGCTGCCAAGATATTTGCCCTATTTTACTCTCTCCCTTACTGTTGATACTTATCCTTCCAATAGAGTATGTTTTACTTTCTTACCATTCCTTTCTTTAAACACACATGACCAAAAAGTTTCACCCTGGTATTTCTCCTATGCATCACACACACACACACACACACACCCTTCTCTTTAGCTTTCTCTTTTCTCTTCCCTCAACACCTTATTATTCTACAACTTCCAGTGAGATTCCGCATGCTTTATTACACTCTGGTCCCTCTACCCCTTTGCTTCCTTCTATTCTATCATGTTCATGAGTTTCATTTTGCTCTTTTGTACATGCATTCTTTGTGAAGATCACATGGTGATCTATAGCTGTGAGTTTGTTTCTGGATCTTCTATTATACTTGTATAGATGGAGTGATTTTTCTGGTTTTTGAAATTATATATATGAAACTATATATATATATATAGATAGATAGATAGATATGGAAAGAGGGGGGTTGCGGTTGCCTGTTTAGAATTTCAGTTAATCTGTAGATTAATATATATATATATATATTAGTGTAAAGATGCTGTACAGAGGGATTGCAGTTACATGAGCAAAGTAATGAGTTCATTTCCTATCAGGCATTGTTACCCCCTCCTTAATTTTTCCCCTACCATTCCTTTCCTCCCTAGCATGTTCACAATATTAATTCTGTTGATTCATGAACCTGAGAGGTATTCCATCTTCTAGTGTATTGTTTGATTTCTTTTTGCAGTGTTTTATAGTTTTTCTTGTAGGGATCTTTCACCTCATCATTGGAGTTTATTCATAGGCATTTTTGTAAACTAAGATTGTGAATAGGATTATTTAGCATTATTATTATTTAGATTATTATTAGTATATAGCAAAATGACCAATTATTATATGTCAATTTTATATCTTGCCACTTTGTTGAAAGTGTTAACCTAATCTAAGGGATTTGGTGGGATATTTAGTGTCTATTAGTTATAGGATCATATTGTCTGTAAACATGGATAATTGTTATTTGTGTTCCTTTTTATCATGCTTGGTATTGGTGGCTTTTGCCTATAATCCTAGTTACTCAGGAGGGTGAGATCTGAGAATTGAGGTGTGAAGCCAGCTCAAGTAAGAAAGTCCATTTTTTCATTATCTATGAAAAAATTCTGAAGTGGAGTTGTGGCTCAAGTGTGGCTTATTGTTTCCAGAAGTGTTGCATTTCTCTGTTTACTCATCTTTCCTGTATTTCTTTATTGTATTTTCCTTATTTGAGGACGTTTTGTGGTTTGGGCTTTTAGTCTTTTGAAGTCATCCCAATGGGATAGTCTCTGTGCCTTGCCCCCTTGCCCTCTGCCCTTCCCCTGGGCTGGGTTTTCGATGGCTTGATTTGCCTTTTCACATCACTGGTGTGGGGATGTATCTCATCTCCAATGCCCTCCTCAATTCAAAATGTCGTAAAATAGTTGCATAGAGTAGGATACCATTGGTAGCTTATCTACATATCCAGCTCCATTAGATATACTAGGGTCTGAGTTTTTGTTTAGTAATGTAAGACCTGTCAATTTGCCATCTTTCTGGATACAGTTGGTTACTGGCTGAGTTCTCTCTTCAAAATGATCTGTACTTCCAGTCTCAGGGCCAACTCTGGTATCTGATTTAATGCAATCTCTCTAGTGGGTCGGGTGGGGGGCTCTGTTTCTCTTAAGACTCCTTCTTTAGTTTTTTTATTATGAAAATACCGTACAGAGGGGTTACAATTACACGGGCAAGGTAATGAGTATATTTCATATCAAGCATTGTTGCTTCCTCCTTTGTTTCCCCTTCCTATCCCTTCCGATCTCTCCTCCCCCCTACTCTCCTCCCCCATGCCAAAGTTGTAAAGTTCCTTTTTCGACATAATGTCTTGAACGTCTCATTGTTGCAATGGGTCCACCTGTATCCCTATTTAAACTATTTGTTTGTTCCCTTCCCCTCCATAAATTATACCAACATCAAATGCAGTGAAAGCAGGGGTGCCTAACTTGAGTTGTGTTATATGTGCTGACAGTACCTCTTGGTAAGATAGAGGAAGTTTCTACAGCTGCTGTTCTCTTTGTGGGGAGAAATTGTTCCTGCTGTTTAGTTTCCACACAGCCTGGAGCTATGAGGAGCCTGCTCAGTTGGTCACCAGTCCTCATGAATATATATTTAGCTCTTTTCTACTAGGTGAAATTCATTTTTGGACCTACTTGGACCCACTTGGGCAGTGTGGGCAGCCACTCTGGGAATGGGTGGAGTGGGTTGTAACATGTTTTGGCAGTGTTTGCCCATTGGACCCACTGAGTAAGTGTAGCTCAGGGTCATGGGTGTGGGTGGTGTAATAAAAATATTCAACAACCCTTTTCCATGATACATGGGGTAAGAGTTTCCATTCTTTTAGCTATTTAATATAATGCTTTTAAATCTTAAAAAGACTATTGTGTCAAGAGAAATATAATCCTAGACCAAAAGATCCACTGGATGTCTCTTAGCTCTAAAAAGCACAGAAAATTGGGAGGATACAAAAAATATAAAATCAGTTGCTATTCTCTACAGGAAAAAAAAAACTTGGCTGAAAACGAAACTAGGAAAAAGATTCTAAGCATAATTTCCTCAAAAATTACCAAGGCATAACATTAACCAAAAATGCAAAAGACATTTTAGTGGAAACTGTAAAGCAGTGATCTCAGAATTGGAGAAGATAGTGGATGATTGAGAAATATTTTAGTTTTAAGGAGCAGCAGAGTTAACATTGTGAAAGTGGCTGAATTATCAGTGGCTATTGATGGATTCAGTGCACCTTTCCTGAAAGTTTTAGTGACATTATCCACAGGAATAGAGAAGAATTTAATATTTCATATGAAAGCACAGAAGTCCCTGAATAGCCAAAGGAGCCCTGAGCAAAAATAACAATGTTGAGAAAATCATAATGCCAGATGTAGAAACTATATTTAAAAACCCTAGTAGAAAACACCAGTAACAAATCAGCTTGATAGTGGCAAGCAAGCAACATGTAATTAGAACAGAGGCTCCCCAAATAAGCCTATACACCAGCTAATATTTTAGAAAGGAGCCAAAAATTACATTTGAGAAAAAAGCCTTTTAAAATAAGTTGGGCTGGTAATACTGCAAATCGTCCTACAGAGGACTGAAATTAGATACCTACATGTCACTCCATGTAAAAATCAGGTCACGGTTGTCCAAAGACCTTAACGTAAAATCTGGCACTGTTAAACTGGTAAAGAGGTGCATTGGGACAACATTTCAAGATAGAGTCATAGTCAGTTGTTTTCTAAATATGGTTCAATAGCTCAAAGAAACATTGAAAAAGGACAAGTTGCAGCCTTGTGAAACAAACACATAATACATTAAAATCATGGCCTAATTTTGGTAGTTATTTGCCTAAGAGGAAATAAATACTCAGAATATAAAAATAACTCAAATAATAAATACCAAAAGAGAAAACACACACACACACACACACACACACACACAGAGAAGACGAGAGAGAGAGAGAGAGAGAGAGAGAGAGAGAGAGAGAATCAAAAACAACCCAACCATGAAGTAGGTAAATGAGCTAACTCAATATGAAGAAGTAAAAATGGCCAATAAATACATGGGAAAATTTCAACCTTTGTAACCTCATAGAAATGCAAATCAAAGTTACATTTAAAGATTTTATCTCACTTCAGTCAAAATGGTTATCATCAATGAAACAGAACAGTAGAATCACCAAATACTGTTTATAAAGAGGGTAGATGGAAGGATAGAAATAAGATTGTAGTGGAGGGAATGAATTTTTTCAAAGTGCACTATGCACTTTAGATATTTTGTTCTTTGGCAATAAAAATTTTTAAATGGTTGTGTAAAATAATTGAAAAAGATAAACTAATTCATATTAAATGTCATATTTTTCATATGTATAGGCATGCATATATTGTTAAATGTTCAAAGGTGACTCACATACTTTTTTTCACTGTCTAATATGTTTGTCCTCAAGTTTGGACTCAGAATAGGAGGGAAAGAAAAAAACATCATATACAAATTCAAATTTTTACAACACAATTAAAAATACTACATTATGCCAGGTGCCAGTGTTTCATGCCTATAATCCTAGCTACACAGGAAGCTGAGATCAGAGGCTTACAATTCAAAGCCAGCCTAATCAGGAAAGTCCATGAGATTCTTAGCTCCAATAAATCACCAGAAAATGGGAAGTGGCTCCATGGTTCAAGTGGTAAAGTACTTGCCTTGAGCTGAAGAGCTGAGGGGTAGCACCCAGGCCCAGAGTTCAAGCCCCACGCCTGACCAAAAAATAAATACTACATTATGACTCTTAAACACTACTCTATTGAGGTTGTCCAGAGAGACAATGTCAGTAAGATATGTAAGTACCTATAACAAGACATTTGTTATAAATTGGGCTCATGTGCTTATGGAAGATGTAAGCCAGAGAATGAGATAGCTAGGGTGTAATTCATTCTGATTTCAGTGACTCAAATAAGAAGTAGTGAGGTGTAACGTTTGTACATATTAAAGACAGAAAGTCCAAGAACTAAGAGTTCTGATGTCCAAGAATGAGAGGAAATGAATGTACCAATTAAAGAGGACAGAAAGAGAATTTGTCATTTTCAGCACTTTCTTCTAGTTGAGTGATTCGTAGTAAAGCTGAGATGATCCACCCTCATTGATTAAGGGAAGATATTCTTTAGGACTTTCCTTGAATTAAATAGTGGTCTACTTCAGAAACATCTTCAAAGGCATAAATAAGCTCTTTTTTTATTGTGAAAATACCATATAGAGGGGTTACAATTACATGGGCAAGGTAATGAGTACATTTCTTATCAAGCATTGTTGCCTCCTCCTTTGTTTCCCCTTACCAACCCTTCCAATTTCTCCCTCCCCCTCGGCCAAAGTTGTAAAGTTTGTTTTCTGACATAACGACTTGTACATCTCACTGTTGCAATGGGTCCACCTGTATCCCTATTTAAATGATTTGTTTTTTCCCTTCCCCTCCACAAATTATACCAACATCAAATACAGTGAAAGCAGGGGTTATTCCACGGGGGAGGGACATACAAAACAACAAATAAATCATCTTATAAATATATTAGAAACAATCGCATGAAAGAAATAACATTTGAGTCCTTATCTTGGAGTTCATTTCACCTAATATCAACTTAGCTGACCTTTTCTGCTTGACTCAGACATATACTAGTTGTTGCAAATAAGGGAAACCATGGGGCCTATTCTCTTTGGGCCTGGCAAATAAGCTCTTTTTGAACAGTGTCACTTCCTCCCTTGCTTTCTCCTTTTTCCCTCCCGTCCTTCCCCACAAGTTGGAGAGCTCATTTTCAACATGTCTAGTGAGCGTCACTGCTGCATTTGTTCACTGCTCAAAAAGAAATGTACTCATTACTTGACTTACGTAACTGTAACCCCTCTGTATATCACCTTTACCATAACAATGAAAAAAACCAAACTACTAGCTCTCTGGATATCCCTTGATTGAAGTAAATTATCACATAATAAGAACTCCATAACGGATCATCTAAAAGCCATTCTGCCATCTTAGTCACACATTGCATTTAATCTCACTGACCATCTGCATGCATTTCAACTATACATGTAGCTATTTTACAGAAATTTGCATTCATCTGGCAATGGAAAAGCTTTACAAACAATAGTTGAATTGGTAACATTTTAGACAGGCCTACCAAAAAATATCATAAAAATTCCCATTCCAGTAGTATGTTTTCTAGTTCTATTGTTCCTCCTTTCCCCAGACAACCAGAAAATGAAGATGCAAATACATTGCACTAGGGACTTGAAATAATGTGGATTTTAAAATATGACTCAGTACCTGGACTGAGAGGATGCAAGAGGGATGGATATAAGTATTATGCAGCCCCAAGAGGCAATGTAAAAACCAAAAAGATTACTTAGCCTACAGAAAAACATTTTGTGAATGCATTCTTGACCTCCTTGTTCCTCAGGCTGTAGACCATAGGGTTCAGCATGGGGATGACCATCGTGTAAAACACAGATACAATTTTATCTGTGTCCATGGAGTGACTGGAGCCGGGCTGCAGGTACATAAAGATAACAGTCCCATAGAAAATGGAGACTGCAGTGAAGTGGGAGGCGCAGGTGGACACAGCCCTGCGATGTCCAGCACCTGCGTGCATCTTGCAGATGGTGATGAAAATGATTGTGTAGGATATTAAGATTACCGTGAGAGCCAAAAATATATCAAAGCTGGCTACATAAATAACAACCAGCTCATTAACATCTCTAACAGAACAAGAGAGAACCATAATTGCTGGAATATCACAGAAGAAGTGATGGACCACGTTGGACTCGCAGAAGGAGAGACTGAATGTGTCCCCTGTATAGATGGATGCGTTCAGAAAACCACAGATGTAGCAACTTACAACCAGACCTGCACACATGTTTCTTGTCATGATGGTGGTGTAATGGAGGGGCTTACACACTGCTGCATAGCGATCATAGGCCATGGAAGCCAACAGGTAATTTCCCACATTGGCAAATGTTGAAAAAAAGAACATTTGCATAGCACAAGCATTGTAGGACATGACTTTGTGGCCCATAAGCAGCCCAGCCATGGCCATGGGAGTGATAGATGAAGAGTAACAAAAGTCCATCAGAGACAGGTTACCAAGGAAGAAGTACATGGGAGTGTGCAGACGAGAGTCAAAGACAATCAATAGGACCATCCCCAGGTTCCCAACCAGAGTGATGATGTAGATAAGGAGAAAGGCAATAAAGAGAGGGACCCGTAGGTATGGATTGTTGGTCAGTCCCAGCAAGATGAACTCTTTCACCTCTGTTCTGTTCTCCATCAGTGCTATCTAAGAACTATTAGAGATACTGCACCTGTTAAAAAGCAAATGTTACAAATAAATTGGAGTTGAAACATATAAATAACAGTATGCTCCTCAGATGTAGTAATCAATTGTACTTCAAGATTTTACAAACTAGAAGCATGAAGCTGGAAGCCATTTTGGTGCGTTTCTTATAGAGAGGCTTATGTTCTGTTCATTATGATGAGTACCATGTGTGTAACAAACATTTTCTCATTGTTAACTAAATGCAAACAAATCAATAAATTGTCAAAGCATCTTCTAGTGGTCAATTGACTGCCAGAGCTCAATAGAAGCTGAAAGTTCCATTTCTGCTCTCTTGTCAAGAAATTCTTCAAACCATTCAAATGTGTCTGTACCCTTTAGTTAATATTATGAGTTTAGCCAAAATATAGACACAGCCCAAATTCCCCACAATAGATGAGTTGATCTAAAAAATGTGGTACCTATATACAATGGAATTTTACATAGCCATTACAAAGAATAAAATAATGTCATTGGCTAGGAAATGGATGGAACTAGAACAAACCATGTTAAGTGAGGTAAGCCAAGATCAGTGAGACAAATGGCACATGTTCTCTCTGATATGCAGAAGTTAGATCTAAAATGCACTGGGATATGAAAAATTATACAGGATTCTAGATACATAGAGGGAGACCAAAAAAGGATGCTCTTAGGAGCGAATCACAAACATGCAATGCCTAAATGCCTCTTCATATTTATATAGAATAATACACATACTAAAATGAGCTCCTAAGATATAAAAATGGAAGACTTTTTTCCTTTTTCTTTCTTGTTTTAATTTTTAGGGTTTTTTCCCCTGATGATTCTGTCTTCTTTACCTTATATATAGTGTATTTATGTGTATATCTTTGGGAAGGCACAGAACTCGAGGAAAAAGGGCAAAGAAGTAGAGCAGTGGAGCTCACTCGACACTGGTGAAAGTGAACTATACAACTCATGGGTGGAGAAGGGAGGGAGGGACTGGGAGAGAGAGAAGGAGCAGACTACCCTGTATGAAAGGAAATAAACTCATTACCTGACTCATGTAAATGTAACCCCTCTGCACATCACCTCTATAATAACAATTTAAATTTTAAAAAACAATCACAATTCACACTAGGTATAGCTTCCTCTGCCTGCCCATGTACTGAACTTCTTACTAATGATATGTATAGCATACAGAACTTACTTGTTGGAGAAAAACCAATCACAGAAAGATTAGTCTCTTTCTTTCAGGCTGTAGTCAATATATTTCAAAATCTTTAAGGCAAGGGCTGTTCACATGGATTAATTCTTAAAAGTATCATGAATTTTTTCTGTTTAATGGAGTTGCTTCCTTCCTCTGCATTTAGAAAATAAACTGATAATGCAACGTAATTCACAGATGGTGACTGAAAACATCAAACAAGAAAGGTCTTCGAAAAACCTGGAGGAGAGATGAATAGTTAAAACTCTGCCAATATATTTTTTATCTTGTGTGCTCTTCCTGACCATGAGTGAAGACTCATGGTCAATCTTCAGAAGAAGATATGTATTTACTAACAAGGGTTATTGTTGCATTAAAAATAATGGCTAATATGTCATGGTGTGTAGTTCATCTTTTCTCAAATGATATGGTATGGCACCATATTAGTTTTTCAGGGGCTAATACATGGAGATCTGGAGAGAGTTACATAGACTGGAAGAACGCTGTAGAATTCCCCTGTGAGACTACCTGCAGCTCCAAACCTTACTTTCTAGGGATGTAGTCATTAAAACATCTATAGGGATCAAGTTGGTTGTTTTCATGTGTACTTATGTTTTTGTGTGATGTGTCACTTATTGATTGCATGAATATTTGAATTAATTTTATTTTCCACCACGTAAGACCAGCAATGTTTGGTGTAGGAACCTAAGAATTTTGTTAAATGTAGGCTTTGTAATCATTTCTGTACTCAGCTGAAACAGTTTATTTGATCTTCTGTTTAACCAGTGCCTCTCCTCCTTATAGCTGTAATAAGAAAAACATATTAACCATGTAATTCTGCTACAATGCTTTTTACTACAATTTTGGAGTACGTGGTCTTAAGTTGGAAATATATGTTTAGTAACTGATGTTCATCCTTAGTGTTGGATATTTTTTGTTGAAGAGTAATAGAAATGATTTTTATCATTCTTCAGTTAAGTAATATTTTTGTTAACTGTCCTGGTTGGCTATTAGCAGCAAGAGTGATATAAATATTTAATGAAGCAATTTTGTGCAAATATCTGATTTTATGTGATATGAGTAAATAGAAAGGTGTCAGGTTGATTTGTTAAAGGTTAAGTGATTATTCATTTGAATAGGAAATAGTTACATTGCCTGTTTTTTAAATTTAGCTTTAGTTTTTCTGAACTTCAAAAGGTTGTCAAAGGAGGTTACAAATGAACACATCCACCCAAGTGTCCAGTGCTTTCTGTTCATCGCTCCTTCCATCATTATCCCCATTTCTCTACCCCCCACACTCATTTCACATTTCCTACATCCTTTATCAAACAGGGACATTGAGTTATCTTGATGTATTTGTCCTGCTTCCCTTTAGATTTATCCATATCCATCCCTCTTTATAACCTTGTTTCAGCTGCTTGATATTCCCTTTCATTAGATTGCCTGTTAAATTTTTAAAGGTTTGATCACATGTATGGCTATTTTCACTGTGTTTATTCTGCCAGACCACAAGTATTCCTTCTTGGTATTGTCTTCTATTTCTTCCTTCAGAATTCCATTATAGAGATTCTTCACTTCCTTAGTTAGCTTTATTCTGTGGTATTTTAAAAGGGTTTTGTGAAAAAGATTGTTCTCATTTCCTTCTTTAATTTTTAAATTTTTAAAATTTTTAATTGAAAAAGTGATGAGCTGGTGTGTTACCGTTACATAGGTAAGACAATAAGTACATTTGTTTCCATTACCCCCATATCTCCTACTTACCCCTTCTTATTCCCCCGCACCCATTGTAATGTTCATATCCCACATAGTGTCAAGTGAGTATCAGTGTTGCTGTGATTCATCCGTTGTTCTGCTGTTTTGGTGACTCCCATTTCATATTGCATTGCTTATTATGCAAAACATGAGGTACAAAAAGCTAAGAGAAACTATATACAGGGTCTAATGAGAACCTCATTTCCATAAGTGGTTGATATGCTAAAAAAGCTACTGATTTTTGTGCATTGAGTCAGTGTCCTGTTACTGTGCCAAAGGTGTTCCTCAGCTCTAGGAGTTTTGCAGTAAAGTCTTTATGGTTCTCTATAAACAAAATCACATCATTTGCAAACAGGGATAATTTGATTCCTTTCTTTCCAATTTGGATAACTTTTACATTGTTATCTTGATTATTTCTATGCCTGGACTTTTCAGTACTATATTAATCAGAATTGGAAGTTTTCTGCCAGTAATATAATTTCAGCTACAGGTCTTTACATATTTTTTCAGCTATATATCTTTAGACATATATTGTATTTGTATCTATTAATAGGTAGATGGAGATCTACATAGATATCTATATGTAATATCTATCTATCTATCTATCTATCTATCTATCTATCTATCTATCTATCTATCTATCTATCTATCTATCTAGGTAGAGCCTTCATTATATTGAAGTATTCTTCAACATGGCAGATTCCTAGCTTCTCCAAAGCCGTTGTTAACATAAAAGGTTTTGTCAAAGGGTTTTTGTGCATCTATTGAGGGTGACACTATAGTATTCAATAGTGACTTTGGTTAAATAGTTTGATAAAAGCATTTTTTAGTCCTCTGCCTTCTTCCAGAAACCAGAATAACCAAATATCCAAACACTCTTTCTTTTCTGTCTTTCAAAAAGAAGGGCTTCATATAGCTGAAAACTGAACCAGGAAATCTCTTTATTAATGAGAAGAAATAATCTTCCTTAAATTTAGGAAGAAGAGAGAGCATTGAAGAAAATAAAATTAGAATAAAACATTCAGAGATAATGTAGGGTATATCTATCCTTAAGAAAGTATTTTGTATGGACACAAGAGGTTTTTCTTTGTTGTTGTTGTTTGTAATATACTATGTGTGGTTTGTTTTGTTTCTTTTGTCCATTCTTCCTCCTATGGCCTATCCTCTGTTGTCACTGTATTTGATTTTGGTACCCTGGTATTGTATATATGTTTATTTGAATTAGGGAAGGGAAAGGAAGGGGAAGAACAGAATGGTGAGAAAAAGGACAAAGGCAGGGGGAAACCAATGCAACAGCAATACACACAAGACAATAGAAAAGAAATGATTTTGTGTCCTTTAGTTTGTATATGGTTCTCCTTCAAAATGTAAAATTATTGATAAAAGACTTTCCAACATAAAATATTTTTTAGTTGCTGCAATTTTGTTATGTTACAGATATTTTGTCCCCTAAAAATAATTATTTTTAAATATATTTATTTTATTACCTTTAAGCAATTAAACCACCGTGTCTCAATTCAACATGTCAGTTTATGGGTAAAGCACATCACCAGCCGCACCACGCTCTTCATCATTTTCCCCTCCCTACCACAACTCCACCCACCCCCTCAGCTCAGTCATTCTGTCTTCTTACATAGGTACATTGTGTATTATGACTGCATTCACCCATTCCCCTCTCCTCTCCGTTCATTTACCCCTTCCCCTTAAATCCCATCCCCTGTAGAAAAGAAATACTTTTCCTTTATGTTTTTTGTCTTGTAAAATCATCTGTTAATTATTCAGAGGGCATCCCCACCTTCATGCCCCATATTTTACTACAGATGCATATGGACCTCTAGGCATTTTCATATATTTTTATATTTTAGATCTAACTTCCACGTAGGACAGAAAATATGCCCATTGATCTTCAAAGCTCGATTGATTTCATTCAACATAATCTTCTCCAGATCCATCATTTTCCCTGCAAAAGACGTATTACTTTTCCCAATAGATAAAAACAATTCTTGTGTGTGTGTGTATGTGTGTGTGTGTGTGTATGTCTGTGTGGGTATATGTGCATGTGTATGGGTGTAACAATTTCTTGACTTACTCAATTTATATATATAGAGAGAGAGAGATTGTAAAAAGTAATTAAAGCAGATAAACTAATTTTTATTAAATGAGATTAATTGATATGTATATGTATATTGTTAAAATATGCACAGATAAAACACATAATTTTTATTAGTATAATAAGTTTTGTCTCAAAGTAAGACTCCTAGACTAATAGGGAGAGAAATAAAAATATGATACATATGTTTATACTTTAATACCACAACTCAAAACCTAATTACAACCCTTAAGCATTAATCTATTAATGTTCTGCAGTGAAATTGAACAACAGGGCATGAATAAACCTGTAAGAATACACTTGTGGAGCTGGGAAGGTGGCTCAGTGGTAGAGCGCTTGCCTTGCATGCATGAGGCCCTGGGTTCGATTCCTCAGCACCACATAAGCAAAAAGAAAAAAGCCGATCAAGTAGTAGAGTTAGCCTTGAGCTGAAGAGCTGAGGGACAGCGCCTAGGCCCAGAGTTCAGGCCCCACAACTTGACCCCCCCCCAAAAAAAGAATACACTTGTCATGGGTCAGACAGAACACATGTGATTATGGAAGCTAAGAAGGGCCATACTCTCCTTGTGTGTGTGTGTGTGTGTGTGTGTGTGTGTGTGTGTGTGTGTGTGTGTGTGTGTGTGTGTGTGTGTGTGTGTGTGTGTTGGTCCTGGGACTTGGAATCAGGGCCTAGGTGCCATTCCTGAACTTTTGTTCTCAGAGCTAGTGCTTTACCACTTGAACCACAGAACCACGTACAGCTGTTTTTGGTAGTTCATTCTCCAATGAGCCTCACAGGCTTTCCTGCCTGGGCTGGCTTTGCACCATGATCCTCAGATCTCAGCCTTCTGAGTAGTTAGGATAACAAGCATGAGCAACCAGCACCTGGCATGGTTGGGTTTTAATTCATTCTGAGTTGAAAAATCTGAGTGGAGAGTGAAGGGTGATGAGCTTAAGACTTACAGATTGAAGGTCCAAAAATTAGTAGCTCTGAGGCACAAACCAAAGACCATATGAGTGTTCCAGTTAAAGAAGACAGAGAAAGATTCAGACATTTCATAACTCTTCTAGTGGAGAGAATCACAATGGATTGGATGATAAACTTATTAGATTAAATAGTTCACTACAACAGAACATATTCATAAGCACACTCACATGAAATACTTAACTAGTTGAGTATCCTTTCATTGAGTCAGATGATCATAAAATAACCACATAACAACCACATAATATAAAATTCTGCCCTATTAAGTCACAAACATCTTCAAACACACTAAACATCAACATAACTTTCAAATATCCATGTGCTTCTTCATGTAGCTATTTTTACATTGTTTTCATTACAAGAGAAAATTGAATTGAAATAAATTATAACTAGTGCTTATGATAAGCATATCTAAAATACCATAAAAATATGCACTCAAGGATAATCTTCCTATATATGTAATGTTTCCCTTTTTCCAGACATTTGGCTATTGTAGATTAAGGAAATTACTTCAGACATTTGAAATCATGTGGGTTTTAAAATATGACTCAGGGTACATACTGAGATGATTCGAGTGTAATGAATATGGGTATTATGCATCCCCCCAAATAAATGTGAAAACCATAAATATTACTTTGACTTTAGAAAGTATTTTGTGAATGCGCTCTTGACCTCCTTATTCCTCAGGCTGTAGACCATAGGGTTCAGCATGGGGATGACCATCGTGTAAAACACAGATACAGTCTTGTCAGTGTCCATGGAGTGACTGGAGCTGGGCTGCAGGTATATGAACATAAGAGTCCCATAGAAAATGGAGACCGCAGTGAAGTGGGAGGCGCAGGTGGACAAAGCTTTCTGATGTCCGGCACCTGAGTGCATCTTGTAGATGGTGATAAAAATGATCGTGTAAGATGTTAAGATTACCATGAGAGCCAAAAATATATCAAAGCTGGCTACATAAATAATAATCAGCTCATTAATACGTCTCACAGTGCAAGAGAGAAGCATAACCGCTGGCATGTCACAGAAAAAGTGATGGATGATATGGGACTTACAGAAGGAGAGACTGAATACGTCACCAGTATAGATGGCGGCATTTAGAACACCACGGAGGTAACAGCTTAGAATCACACCTGCACACGTATTTCTTGTCATGGTGGTGGTATAGTGGAGGGGCTTACACACTGCTGCATAACGGTCATAGGCCATGGAGGCCAGCAGGTAATTTTCCATAGTAGCAAATGCAGTAAAAGAAAACATCTGAGCAGCACAAGCATGGTAGGAGATGACTTTGTCTCCCATAAGGAGACCAGCCATCACCTTTGGTGTGATAGCGGAGGAGTAACAGAAATCCACCAGAGATAGGTTACTGAGGAAGAAGTACATGGGGGTGTGGAGACGAGAGTCCAAGAGGATCAGGAGGACCATCCCCAGGTTCCCAACCAGTGTGATGATGTAGATGATGAGGAAGGTGATGAAGAGGGGGACCTGCAGGTCTGGGTCACTGGTCAGTCCCAGCAGGATAAATTCTGTCACCTCCGTTCTGTTCTCCATCAACGTTATCCAATCCAATGTTATCAAATGTTCTTCACCTATCAGGAAAAAAATCAAGTGCTTCACAAATGGATTGAAATATGAGCAGTATGCATTTCTTGGATGTAGCAATAAATTGTACTTCAAGAATCTTTAAATGTAATCATGAATTGAAGCCCAATTTAGTGCTCTGATTACATAAAGGGTTAATATTGTTCAACAACTAGGTTTTTAATTACCACGTGTGTTATTTAAACATTCTTCACACTGATCCCTAAATATAAACAATTTGACAACTTGAAAAGTAGACCACATGATTCTATTAGTGCATTTGCTTTGCTAAATATCAGTGAAAGTGACACTTCCATTTTACCCACTTCCCCAGAAATATGTCAAACTATTTAGATTTACATTCTCTGTAATTGCTACCTAATAAGTTATGGAAAAGTTTCTAATTCAGCTCAAGCATATTACTTCATTAACTTATTTATTCAGACCTAAAGAAAGATCATTTTATTATTATGGCTTTTTGTTTATTTGTGTTCTAATGAACTTCTTATGATAGGTAAATACATTTTAAAAATAAAATCAACAAGTAATCAATCAGAGTGTCATTTGTCTTGCTTTTGGTTCATAGTTTTGCAGAAATATCTGAGAAGTTCATGGCAGCCACAGAATTTTCTACAACGGAAATGTTGACAATCACTCCACAGATTACTTGAGTTTGCTATTTTGTTGCTGTTTTAATTAAAACAGTGATATCATGTCTTCCGTTAAAAATAGACTTGGAAAAAATTATATTAAGTGAAGTAATCCAAGCCCAAAGAAACATAGGTCCCATGATTTCCCTTATTTGCAATATCTAGTATATGTATGAGTCAAGCAGAAAAGGTCAGATAAGGTGATGTTAGGAAAATGAACCCTAAGATATGTATTTTAAATGTTTTTTTCTTTCATGCATTTGTTTCTAACGCAATTATAAGATGATTTCTTTGTTGCTTTGTATGTCCCTCCCCCACA